AACACCCATCGCCTCGGGCTCCCCTCCCAAAATCTCCAGGTATTTCCCAACCCAGAGCTGGCAGCCTGAGTTGGACCGGGTGAAGGTGGGGTTTGGGGAGGGGAGGGACTTCATCAGGATACAATGCCATGGAGTCCATTCTCCAAAGCAGCCATTTTCTCAGTGGGAACTGATCTCTGTAGTCTGGAGATCGACAGCAATTCTGGGAGATCTCCAGGCCCCGCCTGGAAGTTAGCAACTTTAGGCAGATTCCATCCTGTTCCCCCTACCCCAGCTCCTCAACTGTACTTGGTGCTGAATTAAAACATCTGAGGTGAGTCAGTCAGGCCTTCCTCACAGAGAAGGAGACTCTGCCTCTTGACTGTGTATCTTGCTCCTTATCTGATTCCAGCTCCATGAGAGAACTGTCGTCAGGAAAGCCAGGGCTGGGGGGGCCTTTGTGGAGAGATCAAAGAGAACAGACATCCCTCTGGGACAGTGATAAGCAGCGGGCAGATTGTTCCAGGGCCTTGAAACTGTCCCTTTCATGTGTAAACAATGCAGCTTTTGTTGGGGCTATGAAATCCTGTACCCTGTGGGAGAGAATGTTGGGTGGGCTGCCAGCTCCCGGTTGGGAAATACCTGGAGATGTTGGAGGTGGAGCCTGAGGCAGGATTTGGTGAGGGGAGGGACCTCAATAGGGTATAATACCATAGAGTTCGGGTTGCCAGGTCTCTCCTGGCCACCAGTGGGGGGTGGGGTGGGGATAAAATTGCCAGATCCAGGTTGGGAAAACTCCTGGAGATTTGGGGATGGAGCCTGGGGAGGAGGGGGACCTCAGTAGGGTACAATGCCATAGACGCCACCCTCCAAAGCATTCATTTTCTCCAGGGGAACTCTGTAGCTCAGAGATCAGCTGAAATCCCAGGAGATCTCCAACCACCACCTGGAAGCTGACAGCCCTGGGTGAAAGCTGCATGCCCAAAGCTCTGTGAATTCAGAGTGGGGGGGGAGGTATTTGTGAATTTCCTGCATTGTGCAGGGGGTTGGACTAGAAGACCCTGGAGGTCCCTTCCAACTCTATGATTCTATGAAAGGTCTATGAAAGAAGGGCGGTATATAAATCCACATTATAAACAAACAAACAAACATGTATTGACACAGGATGCTACAATCCTGACGTAGTAGTCTAGAAATGGACTTGGAATGCTGCAGTCCATTCTACCGCTTCAATCTTGTTATATGTATAATCTAACCTTGGAGGAGGAAATCCAGAACGCAGATCCCTGCTCAGCCATGATGAAAGGTATATCACCAGGGCTGGCTCACTCACTAGGCGAACTAGGCGCTCGCCTAGAGCGCACCGGCCCTTAGGGGCACCAAACTGGCACCACCACCCCTGTCCTGGTTCAGCTGCAAACACTACTGAGTTTTAAGCATGTTATGATCTTTCTGATGATACAAACACCAATTCCACCAAAGAACTTAGCCCTCTGGGCACAGAAGGGTCACTCAGCTGAGTCAAAGAAGAATCTAAGTAGGGGGGCTATTACATAAGGACACTCAAGTTGCAACTGACTTATGGCAACCCCAGCAAGG